ATTTTTCAAATGTGTATTTTTTATTTTTAAATGAGCAATAACAGTTAGGCACAGAGCCCCGGGGCACGGGCCCACATTGGCATATCACATAATAGTTGAAAAATGACATAACAAATTATTTTAAAAGATAAAACATACAAAGTGGCCCATTTTGCAGCCCATCACATAGCACATAAAGCCCACATAATAATCAATTTTAAATTTAAAAACAAAACAAATATGTTGTTGGGGATCAAACATAGCACATCTTGCTTCATTAAACAACCTCTCAATCACTAGACCACATAATAATTTACTCATAAGCTTTTACTTAAAAAAAATTAAATTATGCACATTAATTTTATAATTTCATATACACAAGAGAAATAAACCACCTGTAAAAATTTAAAAATATGTTAGAAATCATAAATTTATGCCTCCGTAAATTATTTTTTTTGCTCCGCCAGTGATAAAATTGCCCACAATTGAAATTAAGTAATGGGGGTTAATTTATGAGCTTTAATAGAGTGATGAGCTTAACTAAGATAATTGATCTATCCTATTATTAAAATTTGGAGTTTTAAATTTCTAAGAAATTCTCTAATAAATCACTTAAAATTGGAAATATATTCACACTTTGCTATTAGATTTTCTACACAAATAAAATGATAAAAATATTATAAATTATTTTGATAGTTGAAGAATCAAGACTTGAGTGTCATTTAGGTTTTGTTTGAGATGATTTTCTTACTGTTTCTTAAAGCAGTTTTTTAGTTAAAAATTTAAAAAATTATGTACTAAAAAATTGCTTTAAGAAACAGTAATAAAGTCATCACAAATAAAACTTTAATTTCAAGCTGACCTCTGATTTATATACATATGAAGAAAACATGGAAGTTAAACTTAATATCAATTAAGTAGTTAAATGAGAAAAAAATATGTCTCAATCTTATACTTTGATGTTAGAATGATAATCAATGGTATTATGATGATGATATGATTGATCTGAAGCATTTTATAGCTCAGTCAAAGGGACAACGAACAGAGAAATGTAAAACAGAACCAAAATTTTACTTATAAGATTGATCTGAAGCATTTTATAGCTCTGAAATCTGTAGATTTTCAACTCATCTTCCTATTCTGGTGAAAATAACAGTTCATAAATCATTGGAAAAGAAATTTTGGGGTGGAAGCTCCCTTTGAAGATTATTACATGGTGGTGTTGGCTCAAGAAAAATGACACGAATGCACGAATCCCGTTTTGTAGCCTTAGGATTCCACTTCCCTTAAGTTAGATTGAAACTAATCAGATTTCCCCTGAGGGTAGTATCAGGGTTTATAGATCTGGGGTTCTTACTTCCTATGAGCGCAAGCACTCATAGTTAATTACCCTTTTTTTTTTTTTTTTTTTTATGCTCCGTCTCTCTTCTTTTTTTTCTCTTTTTTTTTAATAGTCAACAGGTGGTAAATGACTTTGTACTCCCATATTCTCCGGCCTGTATCAACTAAGCTCAACAACCCACTGGCTATGAACCAACTTCACCTGTACAAGATCATGGCTTCATTGATAAAGCACCTTTCATTTGTGATTATTCTTCGAGTTGGGTTCTCATCAAAACTCAAATGAGGTTATTAGAACATCAATAATACTAATTATTCTATTTACTGCATTTGTATTCTTGCTGTCCAATACTTGCACTACACGTGTAATGTCTCTCAAGACTAGCATATATAAACACTTGTACACAGCCCTTTGAAGATATCAAATAGATCATTTCTCTGTTTTCCTTCTTGCCTATTATCTGCTGTTCTCTTTGAGTTCTGTCCGTGAGATTCAACATGATATCAGGAGCGGCTTGATTTCCGGGGCGAAAATCCCTCATGGCTACATCGGCTTCCACTTCGTCAACCACGGCAGCAACCTCAGGTGCTCCGATCGACAAATTTTCTCTCTATCCCTCTCTCAAATTCATTATATCCAACCTCAAATCCCTGGTTCCCCATCACCTCTCATCGGAGAACTATCCGATTTGGCGGAATCAAATCTTGAAGCTCTTCAAGGAAAATGGCTTCGAGGCATTTCTTGAATCTTCTCCATTATCGGCTTCCTTCCAGGGTGATCACGAACAAGAAAATAATGTCCTAACTTCGTCTCCAACAACAGGATCCTCACTGATCAGAACCTGGCGGCGGCCATCTGTTCAACAATATCAGCTCCCGTACTACCGTACGTTATGCATCTCGAGTCTACGTTCTAAATTTGGCAAGCGCTTCAAACTCGGTTCCAATCATCAAACCGATCTAAGGTGATCCAGCTCAAGAACGAGCTTCACAATATCTCTATGAAAAACATGTCTATGCAAACCCATCTTGCTGAAATAAAGAAACCAGTTGATAATATTGCTTTCACTGGCTCAACCACTGACACCGAAGACATCATTTTACACATCATGAATGGCTTACCGCTACCCTATCAATCCTTCAAAACAACCATTAGAACAATGCAAAATCCTCTTACACTCGACAACCTGTACGCTCTTCTGATGCCCAAACTGCCCTCTATACCAACAGAGGTCGTGGACGTCGTGGCCGTGGCAGGACTTCTCAATACAACAGCACACTCAACAAATATGGCTCCAAATCCTCCCTTATTTGTCAAATTTGCTTGAAACGGAGACACACCGCGGACATTTGTTGGCACCGTTATAACGCCAACTATACCCCGTCAAGAACTCAACCGGACAACACCAATGCTTTTCTTGCTACCACTTATGCGACAACCACGGACTGGTACTTAGATTATGGAGCATCATCGCATATGACAAACCGTTCAGAAAATCTTGTCCAAGGTTCGGTATATAATGGCTCCGATCTGGTAATGGTGGGAGACAGAAGATCTGTTCCCATTGCTCATTCGGGTATGGATCTCCTACCCACACCGGATCGTAAGTTGTTACTCTCTATCTTGCTTCATATTCCATCCATCTCCCACAACTTGCTTTCTATTTCTAATCTTGTTAAAGAAAATCAAATTTCTATAAAGTTTACACCTAATGGCTTTGTCTTTAAGGACTTGCAGACTCATAGAATTCTTCTCAAAGGTCCATGTAGAAATGGGCTATACCCTCTTACTCTCAAGAAACCTCCTCCTCAGCAGCAAGCTATGTCAGCCGTCCACAAGACCACCATCAACTGGCACCAACGGCTCGGGCATCCTCATCAGCGCATTCTCCAATCCATCTCACATACAAATCCTGAGCTACATATACATCATACCTATAATAATTGTATCTCTTGTAAGACTTGCAAAAGTCACTAATTACCATTTGAACAATCTGTAAATCGAGCAACTAAACCTCTTGCTCTTATACACTCTGATGTATGGGGACCCTCTCCAGTCTCCTCGCATCAGGGTCTTAGATACTATCTCATAATGGTGGATGATTACTCTCATTTTACTTGGCTATTTTCTTTTATGCTCAAATCTGATGTTACCCAATTGTTTATTAATTTTATTACATTATTGAAAAACAAACAAATCTTCAGATCAAAACCATTCGCACAGACGGAGGTACCGAGTATGTCAACCACACCTTCCAAACTTTTCTTCAATCCAAAGGCATTCAACACCAGCTATCGTGCCCATACACGCCGGAGCAAAATGGCGTCGCCAAACGCAAGCACTGCCATATTCTGGACACCGCTAGGACTCTGCTTCAAACTGCTTCCATGCCGCATTCTTTTTGGCCTGATGCTGTCACCACGGCCGTATATCTCATTAACAGGCTACCAACTCCGACCACTAACAATTTACCTCCCTTCAAATTCATGTTCAACATAACTCCTGAGCACTCGCATCTTAGGATTTTCGGATGCGAATGTTTTCCGCTTCTTCCCCCTCACACAAGAACTAAACTTCATCCTAACTCTACGTCTTGTATTTTCTTGGGCTACAGTGACAATAAAAAAGGTTACAAGTGTCTCAATCGTGAGACTAATCGTATACTTATTTCAAGAAACGTTCAGTTCTTTGTAAATTTGTTTCCGTTCAATCAAACCAACCTCTCCGGTGTGCACCCTCAGTCTGCCGTGCCTGCATCACTGCTTATACCAGTATCTACAATTCAGCCTAACACATATTCCTACCTTCCCAACTCTGCTACATCTCAACAACCTTCCCAACCCTGCATATCAAATAACAACATTACCAGCACATCTACCCTGTCCTCAGCTCAACCTTCTCCTCTAAACTCTAATCCTATCCACCATCCTATGATCACGAGGATGAGGACTGGCTCGCTCAAACCTATAAGTCGCCTCAACCTTCTTCATCAAGCTGTCCACAGTGACCACTCACCTGAACCAACCACTTATGCAGAAGCAAGCAAATACTTCGACTGGCGTCAGGCAATGACAGCTGAATTCTTTGCTCTACAAAAGCAAGGCATATGGTGTCTCGTTCCTCCGCCTCCCAATGCATCAATCTTAGGATGTTGATTGACGTTCTGCAAGAAATTCAACTCCGACGGCTCCATTGCAAGGTTCAAAGCGCGCTTAGTGGCCCAAGGAAATCGCCAGGAACACGGGCTCGACTACTGCGAGACATTCAATCCGATCGCGAAACTTCCTACCATTCGCATTCTCTTCACCTTAGCGTTGTACCATGGATGGCAAGTTCAACAACTGAACGTCACTAACACATTTCTCTATGGCACTCTAAACGAAACTGTGTATATGCGTCAACCCAAAGGCTTTGAGACGCTATTCATCCCGATCACGTTTGTTGTCTTCGCAAAGCAATCTATGGCCTCAAACAAGCTCCCAGGCAGTGGTACACAACCTTTACAAATCATCTCCTCGACATCAGCTTTTAGCACAGCAAAGCGGATCCCTCGCTTCTCACATTTAAAAAGAATCAAATTTAAATATTTCTGCTTGTCTACGTTGATGATATCCTCATCACCGGCAACGACAAATCGGCCATCTCCGATCTACTTGCCAATCTCAACTCTCAGTTCACAATGAAACATCTCGGTCCGGCAAGACCTTTTCTTAGCATCAGCATACAATCCCTCCCAGATAAGCATTTTCTCTCTCAACCCGCACATGCTCACTCTTTTCTTCAACAAGCAAATTTATTAAATTTCAACCCTCTTGCTAATCCCTCATGTATGAAGCAGCCGACTCAACTCTCACAGGACAATACACTCAAGGACCCCAACACATACCAAAGACTCACTGGAGCACTTCAATACCTTACCATAACTCGGCCAGACATCGCCTATGCCGTCAACATTCTTTTCCAACATATGCATGATCCGGAACCATCTCACATTCATCTACTCAAGAGACTTCTCCGATACATCAAAGGAATGGTACACTTCGGATTATCGATCACCAAAACCAATCTTCATCTTTGCACATTCTCAGATGCATATTGGGCGGGTGATCCCATCACCCGAAAATCAACATCCAAATACTGCACATTTTTTTGCGACACATTGATCTCATGGACAGTTAAGAAACAAACTACAGTATCTAGATCTTCCATAGAATTTGAATACCATGCTCTTGCGGCAGCAACTACGGACATCATTTATCTAAAAAGACTTCTAGCTGACTTTAATATTGGCCATGGCAATCCCGTCTATGTCTATTGTGACAACACATCGGCAATTGCCTTGGCAAATAATCCAGTATTTCATGCTCGCACCAAGCACATCGAAATAGGTCATCGCTTCATTCGTGACTACATTCAACAACATAACATTCGTTTCTTACCGATTAGCACGGTAGACCAACTGGCGGATATTCTAACCAAACCGTTGGCAATGTCCAGATTCAAGATACTAAGAACCAAACTAATGATCATGCAAGATCCGTCAGTTTGCGGGGACTATTAGAACATCAATAATACTAATTATTCTATTTACTGCATTTATATTCTTGCTGTCCAATACTTGCACTACACGTGTAATGTCTCTTAAGACTAGCATATATATAAACACTTGTACACAGCCCTTTGAAGATATCAAATAGATCATTTCTCTGGCCTAGTATCTGCTGTTCTCTCTGAGTTCTGTCCGTGAGATTCAACAGAGGCCCTCACCCCCAGAATTTATCAGACAAACTTAATTTCTCAGAACCCACAATAATTTTTGCCTGTTGATAGATGCCAGAATGACAGAGTACTGCTACAAGAAGATTGATAATCAGTGTACTTTTCTTACTATTTATAAATAAGCTAATTCAGCAGACACCATCCTCTATCGTCCTTTACTTTGTCTAAATTCTAAAGTTTCCAAGACTCCAAGTACTAAATAATTTGAAGATTCAAAGAAACTGTCGTGACATTGACTCTTTTGAGTTGATCCTGATATTTACTTGTTTTTTTAATTGATAATTATCTATCTGTCCATTCTTTACTAATTCTTCAATCAGTACTGGAATAATAGATTTTTCTTCCAGCCCTTACAGCCACAAAAAATTCGCTCAATTTGCATCGAGTGGTGTTGCCCTGGAGAGATTATTATGTGCTGATATCGTCCGGAGACCAACTAAAATGCGCCACGTCAGCGATATCGAGCCGTGGTACCGAGCAAGAGGTGACATGACACATTCTAGTTGATCTCCGAACAGCGTTCAACATCCGCATAAAATAATTTCATGTTGCCCTTGCTAAGCTAAGCTACAATTCATTGCTCAGCAGGACTTCTGCTTGACTATATTGAAGTCAAGCAGCTCATTACAGTTTAACAAATTTCATTCGTTTTTCAGAACAGGAAGCAACCACATGACCCCTCAGTAGGATCTTAAATGAAGTAAATCAACAGTTGTTTAGAAGAATTCAAGCCAGTAAAGCCTTCATCGTAACCAAGAAAATTAACAAATACAGTACAAACAGAAGTTCAAATATATTATAAGAAAAGCATATTGCTACAATATGTTATTAATATTCCAGACTGAATAAAGCAGCAGAATACCATGTTCTACAACTGATCATACCCTTCAGCAGAGAGCCCTAAGAAAACATATTGATGCTTGTGGAAAAAAATTACCAAAAATCAATAACAAAGCTTAAGATACTACTAAACACTGGTACAAACAACATCATAGTTTCAGAAAGCCCTGATCAAGCTCAAAGGTACCAATTTCATTCCTTTCCATCGGCAGCACGAAGAGAGCCTAGCTGAACTGGAGCTTGAGTTCCAACAACCTTTGATGTCCCATAAATCGACAAGTCTACACCTTGTCCTTTCTCTTTCTCAATTTGTTCCTTTATCCAGAAATATGTGATCCTCAGTCCATCCTGCAAAAATTCAAGAAATAATCTCATATGATCATTCCACAAAATTTTCATTTTCAATAGGCAGAAGTGGATGGATTACAAATATAAGTAACCTTCAATTTCATGGTTGGAGCCCAGCCAAGCTTTTCCTTGATCAGAGTATTATCCGAGTTGCGACCTCGAACGCCCTCCGGACCAGGAATGTGATGAATGGGAAGCTTCTTTTCATCGAAGCTGAGGACTATTTCAGCCATCTCATTCATGCTGACCATCTCATCACTGCCAATGTTCAGCGGTTCGTGGAAGTCCGACTTTGTTAATCTGATACAATTTAATTTCTCGATTCAAACTTCAACATTTGTTTACTGATTTCAAACTATATTGAATCCAGGATATGCTAATACAGTAAAATTTCAAGATTTTACCTGAGAACTCCTTCCACACATTCATCTATAAATGTGAAGGATCGTGTCTGGAGCCCATCCCCCCACATTTCAAATTTGTCAGTTGAAGTAATAGCCTTTCTACAGAAGGCCGCTGGTGCCTTCTCCCTTCCACCTAAGGTAAATTATCAAAGTAACATGATAGCATCAGCCTTTAATGTTAATCTTTAAGTTGATCCACATATAAAATTCAAATTTGAATCAAGCAACTGTTCCATATCTCACCCTTCCATGTGCCAAATGGGCCATAAATGTTATGGAAACGCCCTATTCGGCATTCAATACCAAAGTCCTTTGTATAGTGCTTGCACAACTCCTCACTTGCAAGCTTCTCCAAGCCATAAGCATCTTGAGGCTGCAAAAAGTTTATTGGAAGCAAAATTTTTGGTGTAAGATTGAAATCATTCAAAAATCATTTTCTCTTCTGACATATGTGTCTTGTAAGAGTTCATTTGATTAATTGTAGATTAAAAACATAATTAATAAAAAAAAAAAAACTTCATTTTTATGGCATTTGAGTAAGAATTTCCAACCAAATAACTGAATCTAGTCTATTCAAAGTTTTCAAATTTTTGTTTTCTGACTTTAGACAGCCAAAGGATACAGGTAATTTTTGCAGATAGAAACAACAAACCTCAGCTGGCCACGCATCAGACTCCTTCAGGCTCACATTAGTTTCCAACTGCTTGAATTCAGGGTAGATACAAGCACTAGAAGCATAGAAGAATCTGCATCCCAAAATGTTATAAATCATACAATATCAAACCTATGCATAAAAATGTTTTAAAACGCAGAAACAAACGATTTGACATGAATTCAGGTACGAAAAATTATGTAAAATCAAGCAAAAAAAATTTTTTTTTCCCATAGCGTTATGGATAGAAACCTCTTAACGCCATTAATCCTGGCAGCCTCAAGCATGTTGAAGCTGATCATGGTATTGTTGTACATAATCACCGAATGGTTTGATTGAATGAAGCCCATCCCTCCCATATCAGCAGCGAGATTAAAAACGTGATCCACACTTTGAGTAACCTTGAGGCAATTGTCCATAACCCTTAGATCAACAAGATGGAACTCATCGCAGAACATATCCTCAGTCATGTGCTCATTCTTCTTCCAATCGGAGGCGACGATGTAGTGTCCCTCACTCTTCAATCGCCTCGCAATGTGAGAGGCAATGAAGCCACCAGCTCCAGTGATCGAAATACGAAGCTTCTCTGAAGGCCAGTAAGGCTCCCTCTCCAAGTTAGCATAAGTGTGCTCGCCATAGTTGATTCTATTGTTCTCAGTGCTACCCATTCTGAAACTAAGGCGACAAAACAATGGCTTAACTTCTATTTTCACCAGAAGGAAGTGATGCAAGGAAAAAAATAATACTGAACAGGCAACTGTAAATAAATACTTTTAAATTGAAAGAAAGGAACAGGGAAAGCTTAAATTTCACGAGACCTTAGTCATTGCATTAATATGGAGGAATCAAACAAAATCTCAGAACAGGAAAACTCGGAAAAAAAAAAAAAAAGAAATTTTCCTTCAACAAAGTAAAAGATTAAATCTTGAGTGGAGGTGTCGCAATTCTTAATATCTCCGAATAATTCCAGAAAGCATATGGCTTTTTTCATCGACGAATCCATCATAATCGAGAACAAAAACCATAGGTCAAAAAAATGGGTTTACTTGGTTTATTTTTGATGCAACAGAAGAACAAAACAAAAAATACTGCACAAAGATTACATTTTTACCCGCAATTTCTTGCATCAACATCTAGATTAAGAAAAACTCGGAAACGATAGCAAAGAGCGAACAAACATTAAGAGAAAGCGCAAGAGATCAGAAAAGGAAGCCATATAAAAATAAATAAATAAAAAACTTACCTCGGTAAAGAATCTAAAGATGGGAGCTAAGAGAGGAGGAATGGAAAATAAATATGAAGAAGATTCAGGCCCTATGCTTGATCTTAAATAGAAGCGAGAAAGCTGGAACAAAAATAAGAGAAAGCAATTAATTAAACAAATAAAGGGAAATAAGAAAAACGTTGTTTTGCCATGCCTGCTGGCTTTCGCGTTGGAAACCACGGCCGCATCCCAATGGAGACGAAGTGGCCGCGATGCTGTGGCACCCACAAACAAACAAAAAAAAAAATAAGTTTTTTTTTTTTCTTTATGAACAATAATAATAATAATAATGAAGGCTCCTCCTGCGCATCCCGGAAAATATCGTTGGACTCACGTGTATGTTTTGACACCGAATACTTTCTCTTTTCAGATTTTTTTCTTTTTTATAAATAGCTACGGTGAATGGTGATTGGATGCTAAGGGTATCTCTAATGGAAAAACTCATTTTTTATTTCAAAATATAATAAAACTTCAAAATACATAAATTCATCTACAAAAGAACTATATTTCTCTGTTCTTTTGCATGCTCCATCTTGATGCGAAGTTAACGATCTTTCTCCTCTTTCGTCGGCTTCTTTGACAAGTCTTATAGCACAAAAAATTGGTGTAGTTAAATAGTGTGGCGTTAATATTGACGTTGTAGTTGAACAGTGCGACGTCAATATTGACGTCGCACTGTTCACTTACAGAATTTTGACGTGCGATTTAGTGTTCAAATGGAGCGAATGACGAATGAAATATCTCTTTATACAGTTACGACATACCTCCGTATGCAATTCAATTGGAGATAGATCTAAAAGTTAAATTTATATGTATTTAAATATAATATATAATGTCTTCAAAATATTTAGAAATTGTTACAGTGTGAATGAAAGCCTGATTGTCGTAGAAAATAAGGATAAGCTGAAATCCTTTAATAATTGATGCAATCAAAATAAGCCACTAACGGTGGCTGTTGCTGCACGACACTCTCAATTTCACCGGATGATTTTAGTATGATATTTTGCCTCGTTTTATGCTTGAAAATGAGAGAATTCTCAAAGAACTAGAAGCCCAATCACAATCATTCTTGTTTCTGAACATGCAACCCAACTATCAATGCCACTATCAGAAAGATTACTCATGCTATCAATGGAAAGACTACTACTTGGAAAAAGTTGGATTTGCTGCAGAATTCTTTTCCATTTTGTTTCAAGGGGTGCTGAATACTTCATGCTGCTAGCTTTTTTCTTGAAGGGCATTTTTGGGGGGAAGTCTTTCTTCCCCCACCGGAC